GCTATATTTACCAAGGGGGTGGGGAACAGCGAGGGGGGGGCGGGTAAAAAAGGACAAACTGTTCCACAACAACCACAGGAAACAGCCCATCTGACTCACGGGGAGGGCCGCGCGGGCCGACCCCCTCGCAGTCCCAGCCTGGCGGCCAGACGCGGGGCCGGAGGGTGCGGATGCTCCCGGAACGGCCGTCACCTGGGCATTGGGGCTGAGGGAAGGATCGATTTATAGAAATAAAAGCACCTTAGCTGCAAGGGTTGCAAGTGTGTGTGTGTGTGTGTGTGTGTGTGTGTTTGCCTTCTGTGAGGGTGGAGGGGACAGCGCGGAATGGAAGGAATGTCCCCGAAGCCCGGAGCCCCGCCATCGCGGGGGAAATGTGCCTGCAAACTCCACGAGCTCGATTCCTGCAAAGTCATCTCCCCGCACTGCCCGGCCGCCCGCCCCGCCCCGCCCGCGGGCAGCGGCTCCCGCCTCCCCCTCCACCGCCGCCCCAACCTGCTCCCGGCGCCCAGAGTTGGGGGTGCGGGCTATGTTTAGAAGCTGATGTCATCCAGACACCCTACTCTGCAGTGCTCCGGGGGGAGGGGAGATGAGGGGGGGACCCGCAGGGAAGGTTTTCCTCTTCTCGTGGGCGTGGTGGCCCCCGGAAGATGCCTCCCTCCCCGCCCCCACTCCTCCACACACAAACCTCCTCCACACCTCTCTTACCCCGGAGAGTTAAAAAAAAAAAAAAAAAATGCAGCCCGCTAGTTATGAAACAGGGTGGCGGGGGCGGTACGCTCACGCGGAGGATGCAAACCCCGGGGCCTGGATCGGGAGGGCCCGACCAGCTGCCACGCCCCCCCGCCTCCCCCACCTCCCTCCTCCCTCGCCCCCCACCCCCTCCGCCTCCTCCCCCTTCCGCCCCCCACCCCCCTCCGCCTCCCGAGCGCCCGGGCGCCGCGCGGGGACCAACTTCAAGGTTAGCTCACGTGGGCGCGGGCGCCCGGAGCTCCTCGCACGAGTTTGGGGCGGGTTCCTCGTTCCCCCAATCTAGGGCAGTTTGTTCAAACTGCAGGAAAGGGAGCTGGATGTTCCGGGAGGGAAGGGATTTCTGAGAACTGGGCTGTCCTCAGATGAACTCGCCTCCCCGGGCTGCTGCTGCGGTGGCGGCGGCGGCGGCGGCGGCGGCGGCGGCGGCGGGAGACTCGTTAAAAGGGCGATGCCAGGCCGGGCGCGCGTCTCGCCAGTGGCTGAGCGGCCCGCCCGTCTCGGGGGGAGCCTTGCGCCCGCCCCCCTCCTGTCATCTCCCCCCCCCCCCCAGCGTGGGTGATTCACCCCGCTCGGCGTGGGGCTTCTCCCAGCGCGGGGGGCTGCGAGCTAAACTTATCCTCCTGCATATGCATGAACGGGTGGCCTTCCTGCTTGGCAGAGGAGAGAGGCCTGCAGCTAGCTGAGGCTGCTAAGTGGGCCGGGAGCGAAGTAGGGCGTCCTGCAAGCTTTCGCACTGGCCGCAGCCCCCCGCCCTCTCCAGCCCCTGGGAGATGTATGGCCGGGGAAGTGTTTCCCCAGATAGGGCTTTATACCTGGTTGGGTTTCTAATCCAGGCACTCGGCCATGGTTCCAAGCCCAATCCCTGGCTTAAGTCCGCCTCCACCTCCCCAAACTCACCTTTTTCTAATTCCCCGGTTTACACTCAAATGAACACTTGCTTTCCCCCTCAAATTGGCTCTGTGAGCCCAGGCGAGGTTGCTGTGTACACGAAGGGCCTGGGTCCAGAAAGAAGGCTGGATCCAACCCAGAGGCAGGTCTGACACGTGATCCTCTACCCCCAGCGAGCCATCTGTTCCCTTTCCTTCCCGCATGGAGGCTGGCTGCTCTGCCCGGCACGGCCGTCCACGCCTCCCGGTAGGAAAGAATGAGAAAAGCCAAGAGTTGGCGGAACTCAGTGCCTCCGGGAGTGCGATTTTAACCTACACCTCCCTGGGCTTTGGATAAGGGATGAGACCTGGCAATAAGTATTTTAAATGAAACTCGGGGGATTCGTTCTACCCTGGCTAGTTGGGGAAAACTACGATGGGCTCAGATGGATTAAAAGTCTCCAGGGGAAGGGCCTGAGAATGGGTTGCATTCAGCCTGGAAACAACCTACCTCACTTGGGGCTTGGGTGGAAAGCTTTATCTAGGAAAAACGAGGGGATTCTCTAGGCCCTGTAGGCCCTTTAGGTCACTTCCCACAAACTAGCCTGGAAAAAGAAAGACCATGAAAAGAAAGGAGAAAGTTAAGGGATTTGGAACAAATATATATTTGTGCCTGCTATCCCATCAAATATTGATGTAAAGTATTCTGACCTGCACTGCTGCCATAAAGAGCTGTTTGTATAGATGCACAGCAAATGAAGTGGTGTTGAAAGAAACCAAGTCTTGCCCAGTTTTTCCCATAGGGTAGGTTTTTTTTTTTTTTTGGGGGGGGGGACCCCTGGAATATTTGGAGTTTGGAAGGAACTATGGAGATGCATTAATTTAATCCCATCCATGAATTAACAAATAAGGAGATAGCTCTAAAGAGGCTGCCTAAAGTAACACAGCTCCTCTCAGGCCCAGGAGGCCGTTGTTCTTGAGAACTTGGCTAATAAAGCCACGGTTTAAGAAGAATTTAGAGAGGAAAATACACGTTTACAAACTACCAACACTGTTATAGTCTTTGAATTCTCCTACTCCTCCCAGTTGGTTTGTGTGGATTTGAAATGTTTATTTATAAAGATTAAATTGGGAGGAAAACAGACCTCATATTTATGTGGTGTAATATGTATTTTACTGGTAAATTATTCATTGTAGTTAGGAATGATTCATATTAATTTGGGATAATTTATTCTGCCAGAATTTTAATTAGGACAACCACGTGCTGGCAAAACAGCATAAATTGGTGTTAATAATAAAACGTATAATATGCATCCCCAAACAGTAAGAAAACCTGTTGGAGAAAATACAGGGGGGAAAAAATCCCAATGTAGGAATTATTAGTTGTGATGTTAGGAGTGGGAGGGAGAGGTAACCTCACAATGCAGTCCATCCTCCTCACCCTGAGAACTGCCTATCATCACGGAAAGATTAACAATGGCGTCCCAGAGACGTCCTTTACCTCCCAGTCCCCATCGCCTGTAATCTGTAACCATCACACCTATTCTTACTCCTTTTGCCCACTTCCCCATGTAATCCTTGTCCTTCTACCGAATATAAACAGTTTATGGGGAGTGCAGGGAGACGGAGCAGATGACCTGCTGCTCTCCCTTGTTGCCTGCAATATTAGAAAATAAAACACTCACATACAATTCAACCCTGTCTCTGCCTAAGTGGCTCAAGTAGTGACAGGCAGCCCAGACCCATTTGTTGTCCGATTTCATATATTCTCTATATGTTTTTAATTTATGACCCTAATGATGGGGTGCCTTTTTATTTCTGTACTTCCTCATGCCTACCTCATTGATAGAAACATAAATATCTGGGGGGTGAATGAGAGGAAAAGGAGGAAAAGAAGAGAGTTGTCTATAATTTTCCAATTGTTGGGTTTAAAAAGATACTCTAAGTCAAGTCTAGAGGAGTTACGTTTGCAAATGAGTGTGTGAAATTCACGTGTATGGCATCTCAGTTTTCTTTTCATTGCTTGTATAATTCTGAAATGAGTTGGAAGAGCACAAGGTTTATGTTCCATTTGCACAAAATTAAATGAAAATGAATCAAAGAGGACAAGAATAGAGAAGGGAAAGTTTACTTGCGATGATTAATTTATTCAAGTTCCTGGATTGCAATCCTCAAGGAAAGAGACAGATTTTCCTTCTTTTCTGGAATATGCCCAGTATTAACTCTAGGGCTGTCTGAAGATGCCCAGAGCAATGCCATTTGCAGCGATAGTCAGACTGTGGAGAGATCCCTCTGGTATTTGTGCTGGACCTTAAAGAGGCACGAAAGGTGCAATTACTAAGTGATCATATACCCTTGGGAGCAGAATTTGTCCCAGAAAAAATCGTGAAGTAGGCAAACTCTCCTGGGCTTTAGTGAATTTTTTTCCCTAAAATTAAGGGGATTGGAATCCCAGAAACCTGAGATGACTTCACTTTTACATGCTATGATGTATGTACCTGTCTTACTATGATGGTGATGATATTCTTGGTTGACCAGCACCATGTCTCTATACTTCCTTTTTCCCTGTATCTTCCTCTATGACTTCAAAAGCAAAAGCAAAATAAACTACACTAGCCTTCAGACTGGGACGATTCATTTGAGATCCTTCCTTTAGAGAGCAAGAACCTAGTGTTCCTTTCCCAAACGTAACAAAGGCTAACAGCCAGTGGGAATCATGGTGGATCTCACTGGATCTGCATCACATAGAAGCACATAGAAGCAGGTACCTCTCACGCCCACTTAGGAAAGTGGATGTATTTTTAATCAATTGTGCTGACCGTAAGTCTTCTGCAAGAGACATTAGCCCTAGATTCTTTTCTTAGCTCTCAAGATGGAAAACAACCCCATCATTCATTAAGAGGGAGAGGCAAACTGAGTTAATCAGACTCTGAGACCCATACTAATTGTTGATCAAGTAATGCCACAATATTCAATAGCTAAGGATCTCTGGCTGGTTACAGTTAAGCATCTGTTTAACATAGTTAATATTTCACCAAACCAAAGAGTTCAGTTATTGTTAAGCTCAAAGAGCCAGAAATCAGGAGATCTATGATTGAGTTCTGTCACTATCTACTTGATAAGGTAGACAAGCCAATTCCCTGTGTCCCCAAACTCCACATATGTAAGGTGAGGGAAGAAAACATGCCCTAACAGTCATGCAGGGGTCTGGGGAACGAAAATGAACTAAGAATTGTGTCTTGTTGTTTTTTAAAGTTACATAAATGAGGGATATTGTCTCCATTTATTTGAAGGTGGGTTACAACTTCAACAACAACAACAAAAAACTTATTTAGAATAAATTGCATTGGGGAAGGAAAGGAATTTGGAGGTATCACAAAAGCAATGATGGGGTGTTTCAATGTCAGAATAGCCAAACAATATGACGAGTGTGCTTTAAAACAGAACTTTGTTAGCTTGGCATTTTTAAGATTTATTAGTCATAGTTTATGTATTGGATGGAGGGACTACTACAAAATTCTTTCTAAAAGTATATTGCATACCAACACTGAAAAAAAAAAAAAGAATTGCTACTTTCTCGTTTGTGTTGATAGACTCACACTGCACTTATTCATCACCCATTCCCTTCCAAACATTTCTCAATTTTGCCACGAACAGCACAAAAATTCAAAGGATGTGTCTAGTTTCCCTTACAGCCCTTCAGCCTTTACAAGCGTGGAGCGCTAGCTTTCGGAATGCCCTTCTGATTGGCTGAGCCCATGTCAGTGACATCAACCAACTTACTTTTCATTGGGAGGCCGGTTGCTGGGACTGTAGCGTTTGCCGGAAGTCACTTAACTGTTTGCGAGCTGGAAAAGCCGCACCAGAAGTTCTCTTTTTGCCAAAAGAAGGGGCGTAACCGACTAGGGGAACCTAGTGAAAACGGGAGGGTCCCGCTGCTTCGCGCCAGCTGGGACGGAGCCAGGAGGCCTGGGGCCGGCTACCGGACCTCCAGGCACCCCGCCCCCCACTCCAAGATGAGTGCCAGCTCCTTTCCAGCCCCCCCCCCCCGGGGGGGCTGTTACCCTTTTAAATGCCAGCCTTCATGGCTGCGGGGGTAGCACGAGGCACCGAAACAGAACGGTCGGATTGGCCGCACGAACTCAGCTCTTAACGTACCTACCCCTCCCCACCCCCCCAAGGCCCTGCTGACTGGCAGGGGGAGAAAGTAAACAGAGTTGAATCACCCTCCCCAACTGGCCAATTGCAGGGGGTTTGGATTGTGACGTGATGGGATTCTGCGAAACAGTTACTGAGCAAGAGAATGCCGACACGGTGCGGAGCGGCCAGAGCAGGGGCTCAGAGACCAGTCGGGGGACCTGGGGAGGGGGAACGTGTGTCTTAGACGCGGCGCTGGGTCCGACCCTCGCCACCCGCGTCGGAGTGATCGAGCGAACGAACGTCCTGGGTCTTGGACTCCAGGGAGAGGCGGAGGAGGAGGGCGTGTACCTCTCCCTTGCAGTTTCCTCTCCCGGCGCCTCGGGGGCGTATTCGCTCGGACAAACTTGCGGCCGCCACGTGTGGCACCTCTCCAAGCGAGCCGGCGGCTCGGCGGCGCGGTGGGCGCGCCCGTCGGGGGGGATCGCGCGCGGGCGCAGGAGCAGCCCCAGCGCGGCGGGCGGGCAGCCGGAGGCGGCGGCGGCGGCGCGGCGGAGCTCGCTCGCTCGGGGCCGCGGCGGCTGCGTGCGGAGGCGCTGCCGGTTACGTAAAGATGAGGGGCTGAGGTCGCCCAGGCGCTCCTGCGAGTCGGAAGCGCCCTGCGCCCCCGCCCCCTTGGCCGCCGCGCCGCGATCGTCGTCGTCCGAGGCCGGGCCAGGGCAGGGCGAGCCGAACCTCCGCAGCCACCGCCAAGTTTGACCGCGCCACCGCCGGGGCCGATCGCTGTCGCCCGCACCATGTCCTCGGCCGCCTACATGGACTTCGTGGCCGCCCAGTGTCTGGTTTCCATCTCGAACCGCGCTGCGGTGCCGGCGGAGCACGGGGGCGCTCCCGCCGCCGCCGCCGCCGCCGCCGCCGAGCGCCTGCGCCTCCCCGAGCGCGAGGTGGTGGCCAAGGAGCACGGCGACCCGGGGGACACCTGGAAGGACTACTGCACCCTGGTCACCATCGCCAAGAGCTTGTTGGACCTGAACAAGTACCGGCCCATCCAGACCCCCTCGGTGTGCAGCGACAGCCTGGAGAGTCCCGATGATGAGGACATGGGATCTGACAGCGACGTGACCACCGAATCTGGGTCGAGTCCTTCCCACAGCCCCGAGGAGGAGAGACAGGATCCTGGCGGCGCGCCCAGCCCGCTCTCCCTCCTCCACGCCGGAGTGGCCGCGAAGGGGAAACACGCCTCCGAAAAGAGGCACAAGTGCCCCTACAGCGGCTGTGGGAAAGTCTATGGGAAATCCTCCCACCTCAAAGCCCATTACAGAGTGCATACAGGTTAGCGAGCGGCGTCCCCCCTCTCCCCTCTCTCTCCCGCCCACCTCCGGGGTGGCTTCCCCTTTGGCCTGGTGGCGTTCCCGGGAGGGGGGGGGGGGGCGATCAGGACACCACACTGAGCCTAAAAGGGTGCAAACGTGTTGGATGAGATGCAGTTGGGCTGTTTTAAATAGTTGAGCAGTCTCCCTAATCGTGCCTAGCCTCGGGGAGCCTTCCCCGGACGGACCCAGTGCGTGCGGGGTGCTCGCCCCAGCGCCCGGCTTCGCGGGAAATGGTGCTGCCCCGCCCCCGGGGCTCCCGCACCCGGCGATGTTGGTGGGGGCCACCCTCTTTGGGCAGAGGCTGGCAGGGGTGAGGGTGAGGGTGGAGGTGGAGGTGGAGGTGGGGGCGAGCCAAATGGCGTTACCTTTTATTTGATTCTCTGGTGGTGGTGGGATTGCAGGGAAGTGGCCCAAAACCTGGGACTGAAGCGGCACTCGTTAACGTGGATGGAACCTTTTAGGGGATGACTCAGGGCTCATTGAGCTGTGTGTGTGTGTGCCCGCTACTTTTCAGGGATGGCCAAGGTGGTTTTCGATTTGGCCCTAGAGTCCCCGGAGAGGTTTAAAATGACACTGCTGCTTCGGGGCGGCAGAGGAGTTTGATCTAGTAATGGGTTGGTGGGTTAACTTCGTGACAGGTGAGCTGCTTGAGTGAGGGAGGTTTCAGAGCTGATTTCCTCCCTCTGCCCTCCCCACCCCCTTTTTTCCATAGGACTTAGGTTCCCCCTCCACCCCAACACAGCAGTCAGGCAGGAGGAGGAGGAGGAGGAGGTGTGGTCCTTGTTGGAGGTCATGGCTGGGCAATGGCTGTTGAGACGTTCTGGAGGCCCCAAGGAACGGTCTCTTGGAGGGAGGGCCAAGGGCAGGGCCAGGCGGACGAATGCGGCTACAAAAACATCTTTGCGGGGTGAAAGGAGCTTTGGAGGCGGGGTCAGCCGGTGCTGTCGGGTCTGTGGATCGTGCTGAGGAAGTTGGGGAGCGCTGACACCAGGGCATGCCGCCTCACCCTCTGTAGTGAGGTGGCTTCGCAGCTGCTCTCCTGAGAAGGAAGCCCAGGGCTCGGTCTTCCCAGCGAGCGCCTTTCCCGCCTGTCCTAGGACACCCCTTGTAGGAGGTTGTCATGTTGGTGTTATTTTGGGTCACTTTTGTGTTAAGGCCCCCCCAAGACCTGTGGTTTTTAAAATAATAATTGGTTGATTTTGTTTTTGTTTTGCTTTTGAAAAGGAAAGGCTGCATGTCTGCATCTGTTTCCTTTGGAAAGTGGTTCTTGTGGAGGTGGCTGCTGGCCACAAGAGTCAAACGGTTCCCTTCCTGGTTAATGCAAAATCGGGTTCTGTTGGGGGCTGCCATCTAGGCTGCCATAAAACAGCACATTTTAAAGTTCGTGTGTGTGTGTGTGTGTGTGTGTGTGGCTGTTGACAGACACGTGCTGGGGTTGGGGGATGTGACCTTTCCTGTGGCTTGCCAGGGGTGAACGTGGGGTGTATGCACGGAGGGTGTTGCCAACAGCTGTGAGGCGGGCCCGGCTGTGTCAGCCATGTTCCCGAAGTGGGTTGTTCACATGCACACCCACTGCCACCTTGAGCAAAGGCACGTTCTCCTTCAGGGAGCGGCCCGCCGTGCAGCCGGGATGCCTGCAGGGCTTCTGGGGGAGCTGACCTGAGTCTATCTGACACGGGAGAAAAAAAGACCCCCCCAACATTCCGGACCACTGGGCTGGGTGACTTTTCCCAGGCATTTCTAGAAATGGCTGCTTATGGGTGCGTGCATGCGTGGTGCTCTTTACTTCTCCATACGGCAAGTCAGCTCAGCTGTTTCAGGAGAACCTTTCACACAGTCGGGAGTGGGAAACGAAGTGAAATGTTAGTCCTGTTTTAAATACTACAGTCAGGCTTTTGAAGCTAGCGATATGGTGATGGCAGGTGTCTTGTTTATGCTCTGGGGCTCTGTAATACCAGGACGTGGTAAAATACAACCTTGGCATCTAAATATTGTCAGAGGGTACCCATGCTTGGGGAAAGAAAAAAAAAAAAAGGCTACTTTTAAATAAGAGACCTGTAGGAGTTTCCTGCATTCCCAAGATTCACGTGCGGCTTGCTGTTTGGTTGTCATTGGGGTGAGGTAAAGAGCTCCCTGATGTTCCTCCTGCTAGTACCACTGGCAGATCCAGAAGGTGGATGGAAGATTCCGTTGGAATGCCTGCATTCTGTGAAGATTGTAAGAGCTAAAATTCCAGCCACACCCCCTGCTCCGTGTGGCCCGGCCACAATCCTTTAAGCTGCTAGCTCACTTCCTATAGAGCCGCCTCCTGCTTGCTGCCAATTTCATAGAACCAGGGGCCTAGAAGTTGAGCCATTTAGATAAAATTGCTTTTAATTCAGTACAGCTATAGGATCCTAGGAGAAAAGATGCTTCCAAGGCAGGCTGAGCTGCGCTCTGATCTGTCCTGTGGCTTCCCAGTTGTGAGACCTTAAGCCAGTTACCGGATTTCGGAGTTTGCAAGGCCTGCAGCAGAATTTGCTTTGCCTATCTGTTTGCTTTGGCCAGCACCTGGTTTAAGAAACTTAATTAGTTACCAGTATCTAAAAATCAGAGGATTTCAGCACAAATCCAGATTTCTGGCTTCTCTGGAAAAATCGAACGATCTGGCAGTACTGGGCCTGAATTCCTGCTTAGCAACACTTGGCTTGAGCTGATCCCTTTGTGGGGCAGTACCCCTTGTTTTTAATCATTCTCTGTTGGCATTTAAGTTTGCAACCTCTGCTTTATCTGAGCCTCAGTTTCTTATTCTACAAAACAGGGCAGTATCACTGTACTAAACGGTTCTTGTGCAAAGATAATATCGATAAAGCACTTAATAGGATTCCACACACAGTAGTCCCTCAAGAAATGCTGGGTCTTCCAGGTTGTGTATAAGGGGTCTTCAAAATTAGGAAATAGAATGAAGTTTTTATTTTATTTTTATTTTTTATTGTTAGCTTACATTTTCCAATACTATGCTCAGTTTGTTTTTCTTCAGCCTCCAGGTCTGCTGTCTTCTCTTCTCAGGTGATGTACCTCTAAAGGTTAAGCAATAGATTCATGGTTAATCTCGGAGAGAAAAAAAAAAAAAGTACAACAAATACACTCCTTTTCCAGACATTTTAGGCACTTTGTAATGTTTCATATGAACAATTAGACACGTTGGAGCACTTTGCCTGAAGACATATCGAGCACATTATCTGAAAGTGCAACCAGTGTTTAGTTGATGCTTTAGTTGGCACATCACCACAGATTCACACCCAGGTCACTGCCCTCCTTCACACTCTCCCCACCCCATACACGCACTCCCCATCCTCTCAGCATACACCCCAAACTAGCTTCCACAGACATCCGCTCAAACCCACTTACCCCCATACCTACTCCTTGTACCTGTGTTCCTTTAAACCTCCCAAGAGCACTTAGAAAATGTTTACCCCATCTTGGCCGAGTGGCTCAGTTCTTTGGAGTGTCATTCCACACACCAAAGTTGGTGGTTTGATTCCTGGTCAGGGCAAATGCCCAAGTTTTGGGTTTGATCCCTGATTGGGGTGTTTATGGGAGGCAACTGATCCATGTTTCTCTCTCACATCAATATTGCTCTCTCATTCCTCTCTCTCTAAAATAAAAAATAAAAAAAAACACACACACAAACAAACCCCATCCAGCCCTGGACAGTGTGTTCAGTGGTTAGTGTATAGCAGGCACACTGAAAGGTCATAGATTTGATTTCTGGTCAAGGGCAGTACCTGGGTTGCAGGTCAATCCCCAGCCTGGTTGGGGCAGCCATCAATGCCTCTCACATTGATTATTTCACCATCTCTCCCGGTCTCTTTCTTCCTCTCCCTCCCTTCCACTCTTTAAAAATCAATGGAAAAATATCCTCAGGTGAGGATTAACAAAACAACACAAAAACATATCCTCAGGTGAGGATTTTAAGAAAACGTTATCCCATTTCCTGCTGTTGCGGTCACCCTGTACGGAGAATTGACGTCTGTTGGGGGTGGGGAGTATCTCTGGGGAAAATACAAATTCCAGGTCAAAAGTCATCGGCACTGCCGGATGTGGAGTCTCCCTAGGCTGACATCTCAGTGAAAGGAACCTTAGGCCTTATTTCCATGCCAGCTGCAATTTTACTCTCTTTAGTGGGACTTAAGTCATCTGTTCTCTATTGGTGACCACAGGTTAAGCTTGATAACACTGTTTACAGGATCCTGAAAATTGGAAAGCCCCAAACCCAAGCCATCACGCGCCAGTTCTGCAGAAAAAAAATTTTTTAACTTTTTTTTTAAGTAGGGCAGAAGGAAGTTTATGTGCAACAAGGAGAGAGGAGCTGTAAACACCCCAAGAGTGGCTGCTTCTGTTTCTCCGTAACGCTGTTTGAACATTTCCCTGCAACATTTAGTCTATCTAAATATCTGGCTGAAGGGACCTGACTACCCCCCACCGTGGCAGTTACCTGCCAATATGGGAAATATATTTCCTGACCTCTCTAGGAATGTCCAACTCTAACTCGGCTGGGATGTTCCCTCCCTGAAACTAAAGTTTTTAGATTTATTTCTGTATGCCAACCTTGCTCTATTATCTCTTGTACTCTTCTCCCTTAATTACTGCTAAAACCTTTATAGAGTCAATGTTTTGGTTCAGAAGAATCCAGTGCCATCAACGGTGTGAGAAGGACCCACTTAACACTGCCCAAGAGGCAGGGGTTCAGGGACAGGGCAAGGTCTTACGGTGGCCACAGCCCTAGGCCGGGAGCCTGATCTCTCAAGTGGGCTACAGGCAGCCTGTGAACTAGCCCCTGCCCAGGCTTGACCACCTTCTCTTCTCATGAGACATTCTCCCTGTCCCATCCCTCTTTTCTGAGGACTTCCTAAAGTGACCTGGAAAGATATTTCATAGCCTGACATACTTCATCCAAGATAGATTTACAACCAAGCC